GACCTGCTAGCTGGTAAGCCAAACCAAACCAGAAGGCACCAGGCAATGAGAGACCCAGCTCTAAAGACAAAGAAGCTGGCTGCTGAGGCATAACCAACCAGAAGCTGTCATCTGGTCTCCACATGCATGCCCAACATACATGTACACCCACCCGTAAGCATGCACATATACATGCACACACCAAAAAATAAAGAAATCCAGCCAACATTTGCAAGCCTTTCTCAATAATATATCTTAAATATATAAATATAAATGGCTTCAGCTCTTCAATTAAAAGGACTGAGACTAGTTTGACTGGATTAAATAAAACAGATCTCATGTATCTATTGTCCCCAATAAATATATCTCACAAGCAATGACATCCAATTGAGCATCAACAAAGGGTGGAAATCAACTTACCAAGCAAATGGAGCCTCCCACAGAAACACACATAGCTACTTTCAGGTCTTTTTTCACATTTATTTATCGTGTGTGTGTGTGTGTGTGTGTGTATGTGTGTGTGTGTGCAACACCATGGTACATATTTGGAAGTCAGAAGACAGCTTGTGGGAGTCACTCCACCATGCAGGGCTCAGATATCAAACTCAGGTCATCAAGTTTGGCAGCAAGCACCCTTACCCACTAACCCATTTTGCTGGCCCCAGAAGAGATAAAGGCAAATTTATACCAAAAAAAAGGAGTAATCATTATCATTCAAAATGATACAATTATTAAGCTAGGTACTAAGGTATGGTAGCATACACGGTTTCACAGAAGGGGACAGGGGCAATGGTAATCACATCACAATCGTGAGGATGCACAGAATATGTAAGATTTGGGGCTCTGAATTTTATAAAACAAACACCAAAGGGCAGAAAGGGTCATATAGGTACTGATACAATAACAACGGGTGGTTTCAATACAACACTCTCTTCTTTAGATAGGTCTTTCCAACCAAAATTAACAAAGAAACTTCAGAATAAACTATACTATAGATCAAATGGGCTTAACAGATTCCTATTAGATAGTCTATCTGAAAGATACGGGCTATGCATTCTTCTCAGCAGCCTATGGAGCCTTCTTTAAAATAGATCACATTCTAGGTTACAAAGCAAGCCTAATGAATATAAAATTATCAAAATAATTTATTTCATATTATCAAATCATATGGGAATAAAACTAGATATCAATAGCAACAGAGATCACATGAATACATGTCGACTAAGCTTACATACTTGAACGAACAGTGGTTCACTAAAGAAATCAGTGAGAAAGTATTAGTATTAAAATATTAGTAACCTCAAATGAAAATGAAAGCTTGGCTTATTAGAACCTTTGGAGACAGTTAAGGCAGTTCTAAGGGGACAGCTTATAGCTAAATTAATTAAAAATCAGAGAGATGACAAATAAATAACCTAACGAGGCAGCTGTACTACTAGAAAACGAGAACACAAGCCCTAAAGCGGGGGAGGACACAGATGGAGACTGAAGGAACACGGCACAGACAACTGTGGTGGCCGTCATAGATAGCAGTTCCCTTCTCATTGAAGCCATCTTTTCCATGAGAGAGCGGAAGGCTCATGAGACTCAGGAGGGAACAAACGTTAAGTGCTCTGGAAAGCTGAACCTTAAGAAGATTCATGAGAGCCCCAGCCCAAGGTTACAGAGACAGTAAACTGTGCCGGGCTGGGTGAGATGGTGACTCCAACCCACACAGCTGCCGGGAAGAGACTCTCGGAGCTGTCCAACTGCTCTCCAGGGTTGCAGCATCCATCGGTCACCACCCACATGGCGTCTGCTTGTGTAATAAAAGCTACTTCTGAGTCCCTGCTCCCATAAGTAACCCCTCAATCATACTTCTGTGAGACTAATAAACAGACTCATCATCATACAACACATTTGTCTGTTCATCAAGTTGGATTCTGGTGTGGCCAAAACTTTTGTCTGTCATGGGTTCCCTATCTGGGGTGGGTAGAGAAATGTAAGTTGTGCCTCCTCAGGCAGGTGCACACAACAGTGGCTCACACCTGCAATCCCAGCAAGAGGAGTGTGATTCCAGGGACAGCAAGTACGCCTCAGTGGGTAAGGTGCCACCACACCTGACAAATTCGAGTTCAGTCCCCAGAACCTACACGGTAGAAGGACAGAACCAACTCCTGAAAGTTGTCCTCTGACCTCCACGTGTGCACTGGCACACACACTCATGAGTAAGTACAATTTTAAAGATTTTAAAAAGTGATATTGACAAACCTCTAGCTAACCTAATGGAAGAGAAAGCTTAAGTGAATAGAATTGAGATATAGAAGTGGATGTTAAAACAGCCTTCAGTGAAATTCAGAGGGTCGTTAGGGACTATTTTGAAAACTTAGACTTTAGAATCTGGGAAAGGTATTATGAGAGATGGCTCAGGGGTAAAGGCACCTGCCATACAGGCCTGACAACTGAACTCCATTTCTAGGACCCATGTAAAGGGGATAGGAAAGAAGCAAATCCACAGCATTGTTCTCTATCCCCTGTATCTCTCCCTACACACACACACACACACACACACACACACACACACGAACACAAATGAGATGGCTAATCTTGATTGTCAACATGAATATCTTTGGAACCAAATAAAATCTAAGCAGCTGGGCACACCTGTGAGGGATGTTTTGTGATTGGATCATGTGTGGTGGGAAGACCCACCCTACATCTGGGCCACACCTTCTACTGGCAGCTGGCAGAAAAGGACACCTAAGAAGGAAGCTTTTGCTGCTGGCCTGCTTGCCCTCACTCTCGATGGCGAGCTCATCTACCCTGTTGCTAAGGCACTTCTCCACTGGGCTAGAACCTACTACTGGGATTCTAGTGTAGACTGAAGGCCAGTGGCCCTCTAGGAATCCTCTGGATGGAGCACATGTACCGAACAGCTACTGACTTCTTGGCTTTTCTGTTGGAAAGCACCCATGTTAGGCTACTTAGCCCACAACCTGTGAACCACCTAATAAATCCTAATAAATTCCCCCTTAATATATACCCATATTCATTCCATCAGTTCTGTCTCTCTAGAGAATCTTGACTAAAACAGTAAGATCATTTTAAACACGAAGTCTAGGGCTGTAGACAGCACAGCAGCTAGGGGCGTGCACCGCTCTGGCAGCAGACCTGGACTCAGTTCCCAGCATCCATGCCAGGAGTCTAATAACCCCTTGTAACTCTAGTTCCAGGGATCTAACGCCTTCTTCTGGCTTTCTCAGGCATTGGGCGCCCACATGGTACACACATGCACGTCTATATGCAAGCAAATACTCATACACATAAATTTTCAACAGTAATCAGGGAAATGGCACTTTTAAACTACTTTGTGATCCCAACTCACTCAAGTCAGAAAGACTATGATTAAGACACCAACAACAACAATAAATGCTGGCAAGGGCACACTGCCAGTCATATGGAAACTGTTGCCACCACTACGGAAATCACAGGTTCCTCAAAAAATATTAAAACTAGCATGCTGCCCACCCTTGAGAACTCAGGAGACAATAAGTCAGCATAACACATAGGCATCTACACATACATGTTTATTAATGCAGTATTCACAATTGCCAGGAAATGAAATTAGGCTAGATGTCCATCAACAGATGCATGGATTTTAAAAATACATAAATAAAAATAAACTTTATTCAGCTGTAAATAAAAGTGATGTATTTGCAGAAAAATGAATGTAATTAGATGTCATCTATAAAGCAGAGTAAGTGCCACGGATACAGCATGCTTTCTCTTAGGAATGTAGGAAGAGTGTGAGGATGGACTGAGTGTGTTAGCACACACCCATAGTCCCAGCACCCAGGAGACAGAGGCAGAAGGATCAGGAGTTCAAGACCATCATCAGCTACATATTGAGCTCAAGGTCAGAAAGGTATACATTAGACCCTCTCTCAAAAACCCATCATCATCATCATCATCATATGGACCAAAATAGCTTGACTGTTAAGAGCACTAGCTGTTCTTGCAGAGGAGCTGAGTTTGATTCCCAGCACCCACACGGCGATCCCAACCCTCTGAAAGTCCAGTGTCTGGGGATCCAATGCTGCCTCTGGCCTCGGCAGGCACCAGGTATACATAAGGTACACAGATAGAGATGTAGGCAAAACATAAAATAAAAAGTTACAACTGGTCAAAATGCAGACATCAACTGACCCCTAGTAATACAATTACAATACAACTCTACCCTCAAGACGCTGCAGACATCATAGAAGGGGCAACCAAAGCCAGAAGACCAGGACATCTGATTCAAAAGTCTTTCCTTAAAAAAAAGAGAGACATGAAAGCAGTGGGGATGGCTAGGGTCAAGAGACATTGTATGAAATTTTCTAGGATAAAATAAAAGCAAATACCTATTCCCTTTCCTAGATCTGTGATTAGAAACGTCAGTGTCATAGCCTGACCAGGAAGAAAAGTGTGTGAACAAGTCAGAGCCAGTCAAACACTTGGCACAGACACAGGTGTGGGTTCTGGGTACAAGAGTGGCCTATCATCAGGGCTGGTTGGAGAAGCATCCAAAACAGACCTGTATCAAATCTGAGAGGGGTCTTACTTCCAGCTCTCAAGGTAAACAATCTAATCCAGGGCCAAGGACCAAGACCTGTACTACACTGCAGGCAGAATGAAGCCCCCATAGGAACCCAAGGTCAATGAGAAAAGCAAGCATGGGACTTGAGCAGGCTCTGGGAAGGGACAGACAGGAAGCAGGATGTCTGAGATGTCTGAGGGTGCCTTGCAGAAGCACCAGGAGAGCTGGGAGCCTATGGGTATCGCCATTGTTACAGCAGTTGGAAAGGATGAGCTCCGGGCCAGCCGCTTGCCCTCTGCCAGCTCCTTGAGGCAGGTTATCTTTTCACTGCCTGCCTGATTCTTTCAGAGGAGGAAACAGGGGCCCAGAGAGGTCCCAAGGTCATACAAGCTGGTAGGTGGCAGAAACAACACCACTTGGTGCCTCACCCTGACCTCCTTACCACTGGAATGTCGCACAGTGGCATTGCTCAGTCCTTTCCCTCTAAGATGTCAACAGCCGCAGCGCAGCTGGCAGATGTGTCACCGGGGATGTGTGCACCGGGACTGGGGAGAGCATGTTCCCTGCGAATATGCAAGCCCTGAGCTGTCTCCAGACCAAAATGAGGAAGAAAAGAAGGAAGGGTAGACATGAAGGAGATGGAGGGAGTGGGGCCGGTGGAGGGAAAGAAGAAGTAGGAAAAAGAGAAAGCAAATGTGGGTGCAAAAGTTTCCCTGTTTGCACAAACCAGGAGTACTGGCCTGACTCCGCCTCTTCCACCAAGCATTGGTGGCTGCAGGTCTTTCCCTGGGAGGGAGGGGATGGTGGAGCAAAGCAGACTGGAACCAAGGACTTGCGCTCTCGTCCTATCCGCTGCTAACCCTTTATTGCTCTACAGTGGTGGAGGCCAGCAAGTTCCGGCCCCTCAGCTCTCACCAGGGTGGTTTTGTGTTCTGGGGCAGATCGTTCTGCCACTGCTACGTGACTGGCTTGCCATCTAAGTGGAGCCTCCCCGCTGCCTATTCAAGTACTGCTGGGTGCTCAGAGACTCCCGCCTCCAGCGCAGCATCTTCCTCAGCTGGTCTGTCATGAACTTCTTTTTCAGGTGGTCGTACAAATGGCTCATTTTTCTCTTGGTCTTGTCCGAAGCTTTCATCTTAGGGAAAACAGAGATGAGTTTAGGATATGAACAAGTCACTTGGTAGCAAAAGGCAAGGCTGCTGACCTGGAAGGACAAGGGGCCTAAGGGGCCTGTGAGACCTGTGAGACCCAGTGCATATTCATCCCATGAAACAGTGTGGACCACACAGGGCCTCACAGTTTCTCTATTTTAAAGTGGACATTGAGCTTGATAGAGTACCGTGGCGCCCTCTGACGGTCTGTAGCTGCGGTGTCTGCTTTACAAATGGGTATTCATAGGGGCAGGAACGCAGCCTAGTGTATGTGAAGTCCTGAGTCTAATTCCCAAGAATAAATAATAAATAAGTGAAAAGTGTAAGGGAATAATGAAATGGAGGTTTCAGTAGAAAGGAGGTCCATCTTGTTTCTTTCTTCTTCCACAAATCCTCCCACCCTGTCCTTACTAATCACTGTGACATATCTACATATCTATCTAAAACATGCCAGCTTCCCTATGACAGCCCTTCTGTCACAGGGATTCTAACTTCATCCACTCCTTAACTCCTCTCCTGTCTCAACAAGACTGCAAGGCTGGGAGGACACATCCTCTCTTACCCATTCAGCCGTGCATTTCAATGAACTGCTGCAGAGGGGTATGTGGGGAGCCGACGCAGGGGATCCCCCTAACTACAACACAATCAGGACGTGAGACGCATGCCTGGTGCAGGGGATCCCCGTAACCACAGTGTAATCAGGATGGGAGACACTTGCACAAGAATTTCTAAGTCAGGTAGAAGGGGATACACCCTTAAAGGAGGGGCAGGTGTCAAAAGGCAGATAGCGAGAGCCGCCAAGGAAGCCGGGAAGCATGGGTCGTCCTGTCCCAGCCTTCCTTGCTTATGTGGACTCAAGTTCCCTATTCTGCTTAAAGTAGTTCAAATTTACTTTACACAACCTGTAACTAAAAGAGTTTCAAATCTTATTTTAAAAATGAAGAAAGTGTGGCTCACCCAAGATCATATACAACCAGCCTATCTCTGACTGCAGCCTATTTCTACTAGACCATAGCACAGGAAGTTTAACACAGGGCCCTACTCAGTCCTTGTCCTTCTGTGGGTTTATTGCTGTTGTTGCTGGCCTCAGCTCTCTTCTGGAGATGAGATAACTTTAAAAACAAAAAAACTAGCCAGATAGTGTTGATGCCGATTCAAGCAGGAAAGCCCGAGGTTCTGCACGGGATATAATATGTTCTGAGGGAACAAAGCAAGACACCACTCAAGAGGCGAGAGCTTTCTCTCTTGTCAGATCATGAGAGCAGGTGTGACACCTTGGGGGTGACACTAACCCCAAGTATCATTTTCTCCCCCATAAAGATGGGGCCTACCTTAGAATACGTTCATGACCTCCTATTAGCTCTAGGAGCTGAGAGTCCCTCTTCCACCCTGGGCTCCACAGGCAGCTATCTTAGCAAGGAAGGAGTTATGAGAGAAGAATAGTCAGGCTGCTAACAGGCTCCAACCCAGAAATCGGGGTACTCTACCTCCATCTCGTAGATGCGCTGTGCATTGAGGTTGTCCCGAATAATCACCCGAGACAGATGGCTCTTGGGTAAAAGCTTCTTCACATTGGCATCGCTGGAATTCAATATGCTAGAGAGGGCGGGGAGAGGGAACTGGTTAGAGACAGCTGGCCAAGGGGAGAGGGAACCAGTTAGAGACAGCTGGTCAAGGGGAGAGGGAACCGGTTAGAGACAGCTAGTCAAGGGGAGAGGGAACCGGTTAGAGACAGCTGGCCAAGGCCTGTTTGACAGCTGCTCTTTGAGTTTATTTTGTTTTATTTTTGAGACAAGCTCTTGCTACGTAGCTCTGGCTGTTCTGGAAGTCGCTCTGTAGTCAAACTGGCCTGGAACTCACAGAGATCCACCTGTCTCTGCTTCCTACATGCTGGAACTAAAGGCGTGTACCACAGCACCTGGCTCCTCCGTGGCTTTCAAGATAAGTGGTTTTCTCACTTCCAGAGGAGCAAGTAAACCACTCTAAGTTTTGCCTGTAGATGAGGTCTGCTAAGAGGCTGCTTCCTGAACAGGGAGAAAGAGCATCCTGGGAGGACACAGAAAGGCCCAGAGCAGGCCTCAAGAGAGGTCAGCAGAGAATCAGAAGAGTCCTCAAGAATTGCAGTTGTAGTTGTCGTTACTGACACTCTGTGCTGGTGCTTGGCCGGAACCCAGAGCTGCACACACTAATCAAGTGCTCACCCCCTGAGATCGCCCACTGTTCTGGAGTGGTTATCTTATGAGAAACTGCAGGGTAAGAGCAAAGGTGGAGGAGGTCTTAGATGAATGTAAGTTGGAAGGTAGAGGCAAAAGATGAATCTGAGAGAGGCTGAGATGGGGAGTTCTTCCTTCATAGCCTGGATCTGAGGGGGTCTGGGAAATGGGCAGAGAACAGAACAGGATGAAGAAGGTGGGGAGGAAAGCTGGTTGTGCTGGTGGATGCCTGTGGTCTCAGCACTCGGGAAGCTGAAAGGAGGAAGATGGAGAGCTCAAGGCCAGCCTGGGCTACACAGGCAACTCTCTTTAAAAGAGAAGAAAAGAAGGAGGGAGCGATAAGGAGGAGTGTGGGTGGACACAGGGTTCATTAATAAAGGAAGTCTAATGAATGAGTTTGGGGAGGGAGGAGGTGTGGGGTGCTTTAGGACTTCTGGAGACTCTATTCGGTATGTTCCACCTTTTGACACCACAAGACAACAATGTCACTGACAGAGTTCACACTCAGAAATCACATAATTGAGTTACCAAAAAAAGATTCCCCCATCTACTCCTAATCTCCCAATGCTCTAATTTGCTACATTGTGTTGTGCTGGACATTGGCATTCACAGGAATCCTGAGCCCCTAGGCATCAATGGGCCGGAGACACCCACAGGGTGAGAAGTATGGAGCAATATGAGAATGAGGAGCTGGGGACCAGGCTCAGTTGGTGGAATGTGTGTTTAGCAAGCACACAGTTCTGGGTGGTCTCTGGCACCAATAAAAACTCACCTATTTGGGAGGCAGAAGAAGGAGATCAAGGGCATTCTTAGTTACATTGTGGTTTAAGTTAACCTTGGCTACATATCTTAACAATAAACAACATCAAAGGATGTTGCTAGCCAGTAGGTTTTCATTTTCTGATAATTTAGTTACACTATGAAGCTTTTAAAATGGTTTTTCCATTTTAAAAAAATTGTTCAGACCAGGCGATTGTGGTGCATACCTTTAATCCCAGCACTGGGAAGGCAGAAGCAGATGGATCTTTGTGAGTTTGAGGACAGCCTGGTCTTCAGAGCAAGTTCCAGGACAGGCTCCAAAGCTACAGAGAAACCCTGTCTCAAAACAACAACAAAAAAATTGTTTATACATTCTAAGTCATCAGATAAAATACATGTACTCAAGTATAACTATTTTGGTGTGATAACTAGTTAAGAGGAAAAAAGGAGATTGCTAAACAGTGATGTTTTGTGCTGTTTGTTTTTAAAACTATAACACACATACACATATATGTATTATCTTAGCCTATTAGTTGCTGTGATAAAACACTAACCAAAATCAACCTGACGGGAGAGTGTTTGTTCCAGCTTACAGGTTACAGTTGCTCATCAAGAGAAGCTGAGGCAGGACTCAGTGCAGGAGCTAAAGCAGGAAGGCCACCACTGCCTTGCTTTCCATTACTCTATACAACCCAGCCACCCGCCCAGGGGAGGCACCACCTACAGTGGCTGCATTATCCCACATCAATCACTAGGAACCCGCCCCACAGACAGGCCCACCAGTCAATCAGCTGCAGGAGATTCCCCAGCTGGGGTTCTTTTATCCCAGGTGACTCTAGCTTGTTTCAAGGTGACAGCAGCTAACCAGCACAGGACCTTACATGTACACATCAAAATGTTAACAGTGATCGCATCTGCTCATTCGTTTTGCTGGTTTGTCTTCAGTTTGTTGTTGATGATGTTCTAATCAGTATACATTACTTTTGTAATGATTGACAAACCATTTTAAAGGAAACCAGGGAAATGACCGATATGCTGGAGAAGTGTTCCCTGAATACAGATTCCCTAACAAACAAGAACAAGAAAGGAAGAACTCCATGCACACTTTCACGAATTGACTGAACAGAAACAGCTGGCTGGATGGCTGATACACACAGGGACAGAAGGAGCAACAAACAAGAAAGCTCATGTTACCTTCATAAATTCTTTTCATTAGCACACCAGAACAACATCATCAGAAAGTATACTTCTTTTATCATTAGGACCAAAACAAAAAGATATATATTTTTATTTATTTATTATGTATACAATATTCTGTGTGTATGCCTGAAGGCCAGAAGAGGGCGCCAGACCTCTTTACAGATGGTTGTGAGCCACCATGTGGTTGCTGGGAATTGAACTCAGGACCTTTGGAAGAGCAGGCAATGCTCTTAACCACTGAGCCATCTCTCCAGCCCCAAAAGATATATTTTTTGAGACAAAGTCTCATATATCCCAAGCTGGCCTAGAACGCCCTCTTAAACTGAGGATGATCTTGAATTTCCAACCCGAGTGCTGGGATAACAAGCATGGGCAACCATGTTCAGTTTAAGAAGGGCAGGGGGACAATAACCTTTCAAGGGATTATAAAATGTTTTCTAATTTACTTTTTATCGGTAGGTAACAACTGTCTTCTGAGTGTGCTTACCTTTACAAATATTACAAAGAAATCAACATCCCGGGGCTGGAGAGATGGCTCAGAGGTTAAGAGCATAGGCTGACTGCTCTTCCAGGGGACCCAAGTTCAATTCCCAGCAACCACATGGTGGCTCACAACCATCTGTAATGAGATAGGGTGCCCTCTTCTGGCGTACAGGCATACATGCAGACCGAACACTATACATAATAAATAAATTTAAAAAAAAAATCCCAAGCTTCCTATTTCCATTTTTCTGGCTTCTATGAAAGTCAATCCAACATACCCAGGTGCTGACGGGAAAACAGGTTTAAAGGTCAGGAATTCGCACACAAGACTAAAAACCCTGTTTTCGAGGGAAAGAGCCTCAATACTTAGATCCTCTCTACTCAGTGACACATCAAATTTATCAACAGTAGACATGAAAAAGGAGAAAGGTTGGAAGTACTCTTTCAAGCAATAAATAATGGTCATTTTGAACCAAATTGTTTTTCCATAATAAATCCTCTGTAGGAACTTGGGTGAGGGAAGGGTTGAGAAAGCGGGGCAGAATTAAGGCTTGTGGGGATTGGGGCCAAACAACGGGAAACTGAAGGCTTTTCCAGAATCACTGGAGAATAGGAAGGCTTGAAAGCGGGTGGTCAAGTAATTGTGGGCCTGAGACCTGAGCTTCACCGGGTGTCACCTCAAAGTGCGCTCGGACCGCACGATGTCAAGCCTACAGTAAGCTAGGGCCAGGATTCATTCGGAGGGCTGAAAATGGGACTACGACTTCACGGCCGAGTCCAGGTTTATGAGGGTCCTACAGATTAATCCGGGTCTGAAGTCTGAGGAACTCGGATGGGCGGGGGGGGGGGGGGCGGACACGACTGGGGCGGTGTGGATCTGAAAGCTCGGATTCCCTCAGAGGTCCCGGGTCTGACGACCGCTCGGCACACCAGAACCACACCTGAATAACAACTTCGGAATTGCCGGCCGCGGCCGCAGGAAGTAGATCTGTGGTTGGGCGCGGGGGCCGAGATCCGGCTGGCTGTCAAGTCTCTCGCGCCGGAAGTCCGTGCCAGAGGCAGTGGTCTCCTTGGCAACAGAGTCGAAATTCGAGCCCAGATCCCATTTGACTGAAGGCCTTTTGGGCTGTGTGGAGGAACCTAACAGGCCGGCGAAGGACTCGGGAAGGTTAGCTACACCAAAAACCATGCTGGAAGGGCGCGCGGACGCCGAGCGACTATCTCTGCTGAAGTCTAAGGCGGAGCTCTGCGCGTTGCCCTGGAGACAAGCAAGGGGCGGAGCCTATAGGCTGCAGCCCTCCAAATCTTTGTGACTCTCGGTAGGGTGTTGCCTAGGAGACGCGTGAGGGGGCGGGGCCTGAAGGCGGCCGCCCTGAGGTCGGTCCTTCCGGCTGTCTGAGACGCGCTGCCAGGCGCGTTTCCGTGGAGACGGGCCGGTATGCTGTGCTGCAGCCTTCCCGGCTTCTCCGAGAGGTCTGATGATTGCGCGAGTGCTACGACGCTACGTCCGGGTGCAGAGCAGGCCGCTGCTTCCCTCTAGGCCCAGAACTGCCCTTTGTTGCGCGAGGAGAAGCCGTTGCTACCGAGATCCAGGATCATGACGGACCCTCTCGGAGACCATCGCCCGCGGCTCTGCCCTGCGGTCGCTTCCTGAAAGACTCCCGCGGCCCTGCGGCTGAGAGGTAAGATGATCGGAGCCCTGTCTCCACGTAGAGAGCCATTCTAAGCCAATTCCCTAGGAAGCGTCCTAGACTTGAAGTGGCACCTCCTGCCCATCAACTTGTGGACTCTGGTCCAGTTTATAACCCAGAATTTAACCAAAGCCCCACCTATATTTGCCAGCTTTCTCCCGAAAGAACTTGCTGTCTGACGATGAACAAAACTATTTTTCCTCGAGTCTCACTTTCCACGAGTGACAAATTAACTAGATGTCAAAGGCCTCATTGGCCATAAAGTGCGAAAGCAGCCGCGACCAAGTTTCTCTCTCCTTCCTCCTCAATCCAAACTGTTCATTTTTGTGGGGAATGATACTGGGCCTGTTCTTTTGTTGTGGGTTGTTTTGTTTTTAAAGAATTTCAGTAGTCCAGGCTGGTCTAGAACTCCCCCGTCTTTTGCCTCAGTTTCCCCGTCTGCTCTCTGCCCCCCTGTCTGTGATGGCTTCAGACCATCTTTACAACTCTATAGCCCCTGGCCTTTACATGTCATTCCCACAAGGATCTGCATTTTAACCTCTCTACACGCCCTTGGATTGTCTCGTTTCATCACCTCTTTATAAGGTAGACATCTTGCCCCGTTGATCAACATTTTAAAAATCTTATTTGGCTCTATTTTCTAAAGTTGTACAACACTTTATTCTGTACAACAGAATGTTCCAGTGAGCCAAGCAAAGGAGGTTTGTGAGTTTGTGGATAGAAAAGGACTTGAGGACAGAAACAAAAACACTGGTCACTTCAAAGTTACACTCCTTGGAAGGCCGGAACAGGGAGACAGACCTGTAGGAACATGACTGACTGGCCTGATGTTACTTTGAATGACCCTTTGTTGTGGGAGGATTTAGATAGACGTCCCTTATGCTAGCGGAAACTGGCCTGCTTGGGAAATTTGCTTGTTCTCTCTGTAATCCCATTTTCCCAAAGGTTAATTTTAAGTAAACAGCTCTGTTTCTTTGCCAAAGGAAAAAAAACTAAAGAAACCCTGTAGCTTGTTTCCCTGGCTCTTTATTCAGTGTAGGGGGCAGGAAACAGCGCCCTTGTGTCCAGAGCCCCCCACCTTCCTCTTCTGCCTCCTGAGCGCTGTGTTCCAGGTGAGCACCCCCGGGCTTCACTTTCACTTGGTCTCAGTTGACTTAGGGTCATTAATGTTGGAAGGTGCAAAGTCGGGCGGTAGTGGTGCACGCCTTTAATCCCAGCACTCAGGAGGCAGAGCAGGCGGATCTCTGTGAGTTCAAGGCCAGCCTGGTCTACAAGAGCTAGTTCCAGGACAGGCTCCAAAAGCTACAGAGAAACCTTGTTTCGAAAAAACAAACAAAAATGTTGAAGGCACAGCTGAGCAAAATACATGACGAGTTTCTCATTAGCTTTGTGTCCAGTTGTGTGGGTACTCTCTAGGGACCAAGACCCTGCTGAGTACCACCTGTTCTCCGGAAGCTCTTTAGGACCTGACCTGAACCCATCCCAGTAAACCCAAGTTGCTCCTTCCTTTGTCCCATGGTCTCTCGGACCATGGCTGACCCCCTTCCACTCACTAGCTGAAGTCCCTTTAAAGTCTATCCCGTGCTCCTCTCGTGGTTGATTGTTCTTGTTTCCATTGTTTTCTGTGTGAAAAGACCCCCCCCCCCCAACAATCCAGTAACTTTAGTGTAACTAACGAGTTCCCTGACCGCTGCTCAGAGAAGGCCTTGGCTAGCCTTGGAGACCCAGCCGTCCACTTCTCAGAACTCTTCTCAGTTCTTACCCTTCTCCACCCTCCTTTCCACAGTGTTCAGTGGACACAGCTTGGCAGAAAGATGGACATGTAACCCAGCACCGGCTGTTGGCCTGTCTGTCACCTTGATGACTTCTCCTTTGGGTGCCTTCGCAGTCCAGTTCCCTCAGCCTTCAATCAGTGGCCTCTCACAGATCACCAAGAGCCTGTTCATCAGCAATGGTGTGGCTGCCAACAACAAGCTCCTGCTGTCCAGCAATCAGATCACCACGGTCATCAACGTCTCAGTAGAGGTAGCCAACACCTTCTACGAGGATATCCAGTACGTGCAGGTGCCTGTGATCGATGCGCCCATTGCGCGTCTCTGCGATTTCTTCGACCCCATCGCTGACCATATCCATTCCGTGGAGATGAAGCAGGGCCGCACCCTGCTGCACTGTGCTGCTGGTGTGAGCCGCTCCGCTGCCCTGTGCCTCGCCTACCTCATGAAATACCACGCCATGACCCTTCTAGATGCCCACGCGTGGACCAAATCATGCCGGCCCATCATTCGACCCAACAGTGGCTTTTGGGAGCAGCTCATCCGTTATGAGTTCCAGCTGTTCGGCAAGAATACAATGCATATGATTAACTCCCCAATGGGACTGATCCCAGACATCTACGAGAAGGAGATCCGTTTTATGATTCCACTGTAAGCCAACCCAACCAGCTCCTATATCAGGGTCAGCAGTACAGATCTGTCATTAATAGTATACCAAGGTCTAAACTTGAACACTCTACTTGTGTTGCTGCAGGAGCACACCAGATGGTGCTTTTCATAAGGGCAAGAATAGAGCATTGCCATAACTTTTCACCTCCTAATCCACAGGTTTGGGGGGTACATGCCTTAGATGGCTGAAGCAGAAATATTGCAAGGTGAGTTTGAGGCCAGCCAGGGCAACATAGTGAGACCCTGTCTCAAAAAACAAACAAACAACTCAACAATTACTGCCCTGTAGTATGTGTCTTTAGATATTAAATTCTTTGGTTAGAGCATGGTGAGGGTAACTCTTCTGTGAGTGGTAGGTCATAGCTACTGTCTGGAGGATGGGGGAGGCAAGTGGTGGCCATGCCAAAGAGACCAGTGCACAGTGCATATGGCAGCCTTGGGATCCTGCAGCTCTCCCCTAGATGACCAACCTAGAGATGACTCTGCCAAAATCCCACCTCGTTCATTCCTTAAGCATCCTGGTGCTCTCCAGTGTCTCACAGTAAGTGCCAACCTAATAGACATGGGGCCTCCCCTCCACCTTCACCACAGTGGCCCAACTCTGGTCTTCCAGGCCAGACTTGCACAGGGCGTGGATCACAGCGCTGCTCCGATCAGCAGCACTCATCCAGAAGGCCGTCCTGTCTACACACAGCCCTTTGTTTATGTGTCTCAGAAGCCTCTGTGAGAGAGAAGAAATAGCTTAATCTTTGCTAAGCCTCATCTGAGAAGTTTGCCAGAGCTCCCACTGTGCAGCCTACGATGCACGCCCAGCTTTCTCCAAAAGGCCTTATGCAGAATTGCAGACCGTGAGATCCAGTGTCCCAGGCTGCCTGACTGTTCAGGAGTTATGGGGACAGAGGTCAGGACAAGGGAGTTGACTCCAGGAGGCCCTGAAATTCAGGGTTGCTCAGAATTCCTTAGTGTCAGGACCCAACTCAAGAAGGTTGTGTTTGGTTTAAGAGGTGATCCCAGCGGGGCAGTGGTGGTGCAAGCCTTTAATCCTAGCACTCAGGAAAGCAAGTGGATCTCTGTGAGTTTGAGGCCAGCCTGGTTTACAAGAACTAGTTCCAGGACAGCTAGGACTGTTACACAGAGAAACCCTGTCTCAAAAAAAAAAAAATCTAAATAATAATAATTAAAAAAAAAAAAGGAGTCCCATGTAGCCCAGGCCATGTAGCCTTGAGCTCCTTATCTCTTGCTTGTACTTAAGGAATGCTGGGACCATTGGTGTGTGCCACCATGCCCTGCAAAGACCAGTGCTCCACTTAACTTTTGTGGTATAACACCAAAAGCAGCTTCGGGGAGGAAAGGGTTTCTTTGACTTACAGGTCCACACAGTCCATCATGAAGAGACGTCAGGACAGGAACTCAAGGCAGGAACTGAAGCAGAAGCAAGGAGGAATGCTGTTTATTGGCTTGCTCCTTCCCCATGGCTTGCTCAGCCCAGTTTGTTATACAGTGCAGGACCACCTGCCCGGGCTGGCACAGCCGAGAGCAGGCTACACCCTCTCCCGAATTATTCTTGCATTATTAGTCCAGAAGCCCCACAGACATGCTCACCTAGTGGAGGGACCCTTTCCTAGGTGACTCTAGTTTATGTCACGTTGGCAAACACTGACCAGTTGGTCTGATCTAGAGCTTTCAGATCATTTATGAGCAGACAACAGCACGGCTGCCCTGTTGGGTGGCTTGATGCGGTGCTGTGCATCTCGAGTGCTGTAGAAACTGCAGGCCTTCCCCCTGTATGAGTCTCGGGAGGCGCAGAACCGGCAGGGTGAAAAGAAAAGAATTTAACTTAGCATATGGGACGCTCAGCAGTGGAAGTAGTTCCACAGCGTCTGTCTCTCATGGGAGAGGCCACAGTCCATGAGTCTGGGACATCAGCAGTCCCAGCCTGGCCCCAAAACCTGGGGTGCTCCCAGAGAGCCTGGAAATGCTGGTTCTGATGTCAGCGGCATGTGGGAAGGCCGAGAGCAGGGTGAATGATCTTCCTGCCACCATGCCCTTTTTATCTG